TTTGAGATCGAGAGAACTGCGAAACAGTTGAGGAAAGAAAAGAGGCAAGCTAACTCTGAAAGATCAATGGCTAACATAGGAATTGTGAATCCCAATATGGGAAATCAAGAGAATAAGACTGAAGATACTTTAGGGGGAAATGCAAATGGTGGAGCAGCAGTGGTTCAAAGAGCATTGAAGGACTATTCTAGTCCTATTATTGATGGGTGTTATTCAAGCATCAGGAGACCACCCGTTCAAGCGAACAATTTTGAGATTAAGCTAGCAATTATCGGAATGATTCAGCAGTCGATCCAATTCGCTGGGTTACCAAATGATGATTTCAACCTGCATATTGCAAATTTTCTGGAGTTGTACGACACATTCAAGCATAATGAGGTATCCGAGGATGCAATCAGACTAAGACTTTTCCCATTCTCTCTACGAGATAAAGCTAAGGCTTGGTTGATTTCATTGCCATCTGGGAGCATCAAGACGTGGAATGAGTTAGCTCAAGCGTTCCTCACTAAGTACTTTCCACCTACCAAGTCGGCCAAACTGAGGAGTGAGATTACCAACTTTTACCAACAAGATTCAGGGTCATTGTATGAAGCATGGGAAAGGTTTAAGGATCTCTTACGGAGGTGCCCACACCATGGTATACCAATCTGGTCACAAGTGCAAACGTTCTACCAAGGGTTGCTATCAACCATTCAAGCCATGATTGATGTTGCAAGTGGGGGAGCCTTGAACAATAAAACGCCAGAGGAAGCATACAATCTGATCAAGGTGATGGCGAACAACAACTATATGAGGACTCTAGAAAGAAATTCAACAAAGAGATCAACGGGAGTGCACAAAGTTGACAATTACACTGCATTGGCTGCTCAACTTACGAACATCCAGAAGCAATTAGGTAATGTGTTGAAAATAAATGTAATTGAATCTTCTTCTTTAACATGTGACCTTTGTGTAGGAAATCATGCGTCAAATGATTGCCAAGAAGGAAACCCGTTTGCTCAGCCTGAACAAGCCAACTACGTCAACAATTTCCAAAGAGGGCAAGGATTCCGTATTCCAATACGTATAATCCAGCATGGAGAAAACACCCAAATTTTTCATGGAGCAACAACAATGAGCAAAAACAAGCACCTGTTTTTGAACATCAAGAGCAAAAATCAAATTTGGAAAATGCATTGACCAAGTTCATTGAGGAGACAAGCAAGAGGTTTGAGAAGACCGACGTCCTGGTTCAAAATCAATCTGCATCTATTAGGAACTTTGAGACTCAAATTGGGCAAATTCACAACATATTAGCGAGAAGAGGTCAAGGGGTTTTATCGAATGATATAGAGAAAAATCCCAAGGAACAGGCACATGCGATCATCTTGAGGAGTGGAAGAAGTTTGGAAAATTCAGAGAGTGAAAAACAGAGGATAGAACAAAACCTGAAGGATGAGCAGAAGGAATATCGTTACGGCAATGAAGATGGTGGCCGTGGCGAGCGTAATGATGCAGAGAATTTCGTCAGAAGGAACGACGATCACCGCGGCGAGGACACTGGTCGCTGCAACGACCGTGATGTTGTTCTGAATTCGTTAGGCTTAGCAGTCGATTGCCGCGACGATGAATCTGGTGGTCGCGGCGAGCGTGCATCTGCGCAGAAGCTCCAGTCAAGCCAGGCAACTCTATCATACCCACAACGGTTGAAGAATTAGAAGCTTGATAAGTAATTCGGTAAGTTTATTGACATGTTTAGAAGTTTACATATTAATATCCCTTTTGTTGATATGCCAGAATAGGTGCCACAGTATGCGAAAATTTTAAAGGAGATCCTCATGCACAAGAGGAAATTAGAGGAACACGAGAAAGTCATGCTGATGGAGGAATGCAGCGCGCTAATTCAAAAGAAACTACCATCTAAACTACGAGATCCAGGGAGTTTTATTATCCCTTGTATTATTGGTAGTTGTTATTTTGATAAAGTGTTCTGCGATTTAGGGGCTAGCATTAACTTAATGTCGTTTTCCATTTACAGGAAGCTTGGATTGGGAGAAGTGAAGCCAACCACCGTGTCTCTCCAATTAGCTGATCGATCGATCACATATCCTAAGGGGATAGTCGAAGACGTCTTGATTAAGGTAGACAAACTGATTTTCCCAGTAGATTTCATAGTGTTAGACATGAGGAAGATAGGGAAATAACTTTAATTTTAGGGCGACCTTTTCTAGCCACGGGTAGAACATTGATAGATGTCCACCAAGGGAAGTTGATCTTAAGGATAGAAGATGGGCAAGTAGAATTTGATGTTTTCAAGTCTATGAAGCATCCATCTGAATTAGATTCATGTTTTAAGATTAATGTTCTTGACACCCTAGTGGAGCAGAATTTTGAAGAGAATTACCTAATTCTGCCTTTAGAGAATTGTTTGATGAATGCTAGAGACTAGGAGGATGAAGCTGATAGTGAAGAGATAAGAGAGTGTCTAAGATACTTAAATGTTTTACCACCCTTGGCCGAAGCTAAATCGATCAGAGAAATTGGAGCCGTGGAGTCTCAGTCAACTTTACCAATCACAAAGGCACCTACACTTGAGCTCAAGCAACTACCATCTCATTTAAGGTATGTATTTTTAGAAGCGGGTAAATATTTTCCAGTCATTATTAATGCTTCTTTGAGTGTTGTAGAGGAAGAAAAGTTGTTGCGCATTTTGAGAAAGTACAAGAAGGCCATTGGATGGACAATTGCGGATATCAAAGGTATCAGTCCTTTAATCTGCACGCATAAGATCTTAATGGAGGAAAGTTACAAGCCTACTGTCCAACCACAGAGAAGATTGAATCCATCAATGCAAGAAGTGGTTAAGAAGGAGGTGTTGAAACTTTTAGATGCAGGAATCATATATCTAATTTTGGATAGTGCATGGGTGAGTCCAGTCTAAGTAGTGCCAAAGAAGGGAGGAATGATAGTGGTCCGTAATGACAACAACGAGTTGATTCCAACACAAACGGTCACGGGATGGAGAGTATGTATCGACTATCGCAAACTGAACTCCGCAACTCGTAAGGACCATTTTCCATTGTCGTTCATCGACCAAATGTTAGAGAGGTTAGTTGGCCATAAGTTCTATTGTTTCTTAGACGAATATTCAGGCTACAATCAAATTGCCATAGCGCCAGAAGATCAAGAGAATACTACTTTCACATGCCCATATGTCACATTCGCCTATCGAAGAATGCCTTTTGGCTTGTGCAACGCTCTTGCAACTTTTGAACATTGCATGATCTCAATTTTTTCCGATATGGTTAAGAAGTCCATTGAAGTTTTTATGGACGATTTTTCTGTTTTTGGAAATTCTTTTGATGATTGTTTAAGTAACTTGTCTAATGTTTTGCAAAGATGTGTTGACACTAACTTGGTGCTAAATTGGGAAAAATACCATTTCATGGTACGAGATGGGATTGTGTTAGGTCATCGGATATCAGTGAATGGAATTGAGGTGGATCGAGCTAAGATTGAAGTCATTGAGAAACTACCACCTCCTAATTCAGTAAAGGTTCTCAGAAGCTTCCTTGGGTATGGGGGCTTTTATAGGAGATTCATACAAGATTTCTCTAAAATCTCTAAACCTCTTTGTGATTTATTAGCTAAGGATGTTCTTTTTAATTTCAGTCAGGAGTGTTTAAATCCATTTAAGTGTTTAAAAACAAAATTAATTTCTGCTCCTATTATTGTTACGCCCGATTGGGAACTACCTTTTGAACTCATGTGTGATGCAAGTGATTATGCTTTAGGGACTGTTTTAGGACAGTGAAAAGGTAAGGTCTTGCATGTGATATATTATGCCAGTAAGACTTTAACGGGACCACAGCTGAATTATGCCACTACTAAGAAAGAATTTTTAGCAGTAGTATTTTCTATTGATAAGTTTCGTTCTTATTTGCTAGGTACCAAGGTCATCGTGCACATAGACCATGCTGCATTGAAGTACCTCCTAGCAAAACGAGACTCCAAGCCAAGATTATTGCGATGGGTATTGTTCCTACAGGAATTCGACTTGGAGATCAAGGACAAAAAAGGAACGAAAAATCAAGTGGCTAACCATTTATCCCAATTGGAGTCCAATGAAGAAGTTCGAGAGGAAGAAAAGTCAATCAATGAATACTTCCCGGATGAGCAATTGTTTGCTATTCAAGAAGGACCACGGTTCGCGGACATTGCTAACTATTTGGCGTGAAAGGTTATGCCCCCTGGACTGAACTCCCAGAGACGAAAGAAAACTTTTGCAGATTTAAAGTACTACTTCTGGGAGGATCCATTTTTGTATAAGCATTGCGCCGATCAGATGATAAGACGATGTGTGCCAGAGAAAGAGATGACAAATATACTTCATCACTGTCATTTAAGGGAAGTTGGTGGTCATTTCGGTTCGACAAAGACAGCCACAAAAGTTCTTCAATCAGGATTTTTCTCGCCTACTCTTTTTAAAGATGCTTTTCGTTTTTTTATGAGTTGTGATGAGTGTCAACGGGTTGGAAATATATCTAGGAGAAATGTCATGCCTTTAAATAATATCATAGAAGTAGAATTGTTTGATGTTTGGGGGATGGATTTTATGGGACCCTTTCCTTCTTCGTTTTCTAACCGTTTTATTTTGGTTGCTGTAGATTATGTGTCGAAGTGGGTGGAACCTACTGCATTGCCAACAAACGATACTCGTGTCGTTATCAAGTTCGTAAAGAAGAATATCTTTTCAAGGTTTGGCACGCCAAGAGCCATTATCAGTGATAATGGTTCTCACTTTTGCAATCATCAATTCGCAGCATTGTTAAGCAAGTATGGGGTTACACATTAAGTTGCAACCCCATATCACCCACAAACCAGTGGCCAAGTCGAAGTATCAAATAGGGAGCTGAAACGAATCCCTGGAAAAGATAGTGAACACCTCTCGAAAGGATTGGACAACTAAACTTGATGATGCACTATGGGCGTATAGCATGGCATTCAAAACACCAATAGGAATGTCGCCCTATAGGATGGTTTACAGAAAAGCTTGTCACTTGCTAGTGGAGTTAGAGCACAGATCGTATTGGGCAGTAAAGTTTCTGAATTTTGATCTACAAGCTGCAGGAGCAAAACGTTTACTGCAACTCAATGAGATGGAAGAGTTTCGTAATAATGCATACGAGAATGCCCAAATCTACAAAGAAAAGACTAAGCAGTGGTATAACAAGCACATTGTGAACAAGGAATTCAAGGAGGGCGGCAAAGTGTTGCTGTTCAACTCAAGACTACGACTTTTTCTGGGTAAATTGTGCTCAAGATGGTCTGGCCCGTTCATCATCCATCGCGTGTTTCTACATGGGGCGATAGAGCTTCACCACCCGACAAATGGAACATTCAAAGTCAATGGGCAAAGATTGAAACCCTATATTGAGAATGGAAATGGCAATGAGAGGGTTTCACTTCTTCTTCAGAATCCTAATTGACGACAAAAAAGGAGTCGAGCTTAAGACTTTAAACAAGCGCTTTTTGGGAGGCAACCCAATATTTCGTTTCCGTTTGGTTGATTTTTATTTTTATTTTTTTTATGAGTAATGATGTTTCTGTTTAGTATTTCTTCTTTTCTTTTGTTATGTGTGTGTATGTTTTTGTGTTAGTGTTAGTTTATTAATTCCGACGTTTTGATTGTCTTTGTCAAGGTATGGGAAACAAACATTCCCGGAAAAGAAATAAACAGTTTAGCATCACGCTTGCTCCGGCGGTGAACTCCATCGCTGCAGCGAGCGTGCATTTCGCGCACGAACAAGGGGCAGATGATTAATCACACTTGCCGCAACAATGAACCCCATCGCTGTAGTGAGCGTGAGTCCAGAGCAGACCGCGACGAAAAATCACGATCGCCGCGGCGACGCATACTATCACCGTAGCAATCGTACCATAAAACGTGAACTCGCATTTAAATGAATCTGCTCCTCTTCCCCTGCACATACTCTTCATTACATTCACCCCACAATTCATAGCACAATCTCTCTTCCCCAAAAATTCTTTTTGTTCCTTTCTTCACACATCATTCACCCAATTTTGCTTTTTGCGCCATTGTTCACTAACGAATCCCATTTCGCAGATTAAGCAAGCAAGAGGATTTCCGCGAAAAAAAAAAAATAAAGGTTAGGGTTTCAAAAGCAAAATTGGGGGTTTTCAAAAATTCATCTAATCAATATCAATTCAAGGCACATTTGGACAGATCAAGGCTCAAGTAAGTATTTCTCACCCAATTTGCAAAGTAATTTTGATTGTTGAATTTGGGAACCCATTGAATTGAATTTTGTGGGAGTGTGAGTTGATTGTTGTTGGTTCTTAACAATTGGGAGAGATTGATGTGATTTTTGGGAGAGCTTGTGGTTACTTTTGTGATTGTGGCGTGATTGAAGAAGAAAAGTTGTTGTTAGTTGGAGTGTGGTGATTGTTCGTGGGTATTGTGAGTAGTTTGACTGAGTGTTTGGGTTAAGGGCAAAATAATGATAATGGCACCCAAAAGGAAACTTGGAAGTGATAGGAGAGAAAAAGGAAAAGGGCAAGCCTCCGATACCCGGTTTGTTAGTCAGGCTGCCCAGGAAAGATATGAAAATTTTGCAAAGAAACTGGGAGGATTTATTGAAGAAAGAGGGCTGGTATTTGCAGAAACTTTTGAGGGAATAACTGATGTGATTCAAGCTCTAGGTTAGGACAAATTTTGTAAAAAACCCCCAGCACCTGTTGTTGCCTCTGTGGTAAAAGGAGTTCTATGCCAACGTTCTTGATAGCATTGACGGGAGGACACTGGTAAGAGGTAAAGAGATAGTATTTAATGCAACTGCTATTAATCAATTTTATGGGCTGCCGCAAGTTGAGCTAGATAATGACGCCTATGCCACATTCAAGCAACAAGTGGATTTTGACGCAGTAATTAGTTCTTTGACAGAAGGGAAAGCTAAATGGTTTATTGCGGCTGGGGAACACATCTGTTTTGACAGTAAGTTCTTGAACTCAACTTTGCACATGTGGCTATATTTTGTATGCGCTCGATTGATACCCTCCAAGCACATAGCACTGTTAGTAAAGCTAGGGCGATTCTGATATATGCAATCCAACAGAAGATGAGAATGAATGTGGGTGAGATTATCTTTCAAGAGATTACCCATTCGGCAAAGCGTACCAAGACCGGTTTTTACTTCCCTCACCTGATTACTGCATTGTGTAAGCAAGCTGAAGTGTCGTTGAATGCTGAAGAGGTTTTTATTCCGCAAGGCTTGTGTCTTACCATGCAATTTCTGCAAAATTTAACCAGTGGGGGCAGAGTAGAGGTATCCAGGACCAAAGCATCTTCATTGATGAAGCTTTCCCAAAAAGATCAATTGTCGAAACTGCACGAAGACATCAAAAAGTTGAAAACGCAATAAAATCGCCAAGAAGCCTGGATGACGTGGATGAGTGGGCAAATGAGGGTGCAACATGAGATGCACAGATTGCAACTTGCTCATGCTGGGATAGCAGCCCCAGGGTGTGAATGGACTGATTTTGTGTACCCAGCGGATGAGGAACAAGGCGATGAGGAGTAGAGTGAAATTTCAGTGTGTTTTAGTTAATGTTGTTAGTGTATTTTGTTGGTTTTTTCTCTGTTTTGATGTACGTGCATTTTGCTACTGTGTGTCTTTGCGTCTTTGTGACTTGTTAGTTTATTTTTGTTGTTGTTAATACTCTCTTATCCATTATTGTATTCTGCATAACTATGATGGCCGACAAGGTCTGTTTTAGTTTTTTTTGTTATTTTGCTAGAACGAATGCGTTTACACATGGACAGCCTTATTACGTTGAGGACTGCGGTAACGTTCTCTTTCTCTTATTCCTACGCTTAATAGTGGGACAATGTTGTTTTATTGGTTGGGGGTAGGAATTTAAGAAACGTAAATTGAGCAGAATTTTTGTATGGATTTAGAGAGCAGTTTTATTTATTCTTTTATTTTAGGTTGTGAGTTTTTATTTTTGTCTCCTGGATGAAGTCATATGTCTATGATAAGAATGTGCTTGCAATAACACAGAACTAATGGAGGACATTAATTTTTACCTTTGCTTACGAATGTGTGTGAATATTAATGACATTGAGTTGAGACCCTAGTGAACTGTGGATTGAAAGTGGTTCAATCACCTACTTAGAGACGTGTTATGTATGAAGTTTACATGAACATTATTGTGATCTCAACAAACTCTAGAACTCATTTGATAAGCACTCAAGACGAAATCCTAGAATTCACATCACTTAGGAAATGATTTAGGCTGTTTTTTGACCGATTGAGCTTCTCAAGCCAACCCTTGTTATTGTCATCGCTAGTTAGCCCTTTGAGCCTTTTAAACACAATTTAGCCTTGTTTTTCGTTCTTTGAACTTAATGTTTACCCTATCCTGATTATGAGCCTAAAATACAATCGTACCATTTTATCCTTAAGAGACTTAATTGTTATTCAAGCTTAATATGAGTATTGGTGAGGAAGTGTAGTTTTGCCACAACCCAAGTTTGTGCGAAGAAATTGGTTGGGGGTTGTGGAGTGCTTGTACAATCAGTGGGGATGTGTGTGTTTTCTACTTTTATATTGACGTTAAAAAAAAAAAAAAAAAAAAACTTTGGCATTGAAAAGCATTGTACTATCAAATAGAAAAAGCTCGATAAAGATTGGGAAGCTATTGAGTGGAAAAGAGAAGTGTGGTGTATGTTAGTAATAAGAATGAATAAAAAATTAAGTCTCTTAATTTTATTTTCGTTAAATTCTCTTTCCATCTTTCATGAACTCATACCCCAGCCTAACATTACAACCTTTACAAAGACCTATTGATCCAAGGTGATGTGAAATTTTACATTAGTGGAGAGTGACGTGAAAAGTGAGCCTATGAAGTTTGATTCCAGGATTCACATATAGTCATAACTCGAATACTGAGATCAAAAATTTTGTTCATGAATGTTGTGCATAACACCATCCGAGTTTGTAGACTAATAGTTTGTGATTGTATGGATGTTCTAGGGTCGATAACGAAAATGAAATTGATGTTTGCATTGTCTGTGAGTTTAGGTGATTTTTAAGTAATCTATTTGTTTTGTGTATATGCAATTTTTGAGACGTCTTTATGAATTGATCCAAGACTTTTTGTTAGTGTGTTCTTTTTATGTTTATGTTTTTGTTACTTTTGGAGTTTAGGATAAGTTTAGTGTGGATGTTTGTGGGTATCATCGCTAGAAACCCTCACGAGACTACAACTCGTCCAACTAGGGCCACCTAGGGGTTTAAAGGCTTGTTGCATACGCTAAATGCAATTGTGTCAATCTACGAAAGTGATTTAGGATAGTTTAGATTTAGGTTTTTAATTAGTTGTTTTCTTTTCAAGCTTAGAGACTTATTTTATTAAGCACGTTTTAAAGGAAATTAACAATAAAGGCACCTAACTCCTCGAACTGCTAGGATTTTATCTGGTTACAATTGTTGCTTTTTACTCTGTTCTCTGGTTCCATTCTTCTACTTAATACAATACTGAGTATATTTATTGAATTGTTTGTTCTCTCTTTATCTTCTCTACTTGCAATTTGTGTTGGAATTGGTCTGTTGTAGTAGGCAAGCGTATCAGGTAATTTTCTAATTTTACCCTTATATAAAAGTTAACCAATAAAGATAGGCTGACAAAACCATCACCGGGTGACCGAGTGGTCAACTATGACTATCGGGTGTATTACTCAAGAGGACTAAGTTCGATCCACCCACTCGTTAACTTCAGCACCTCGAGGGATTAGTTGAGGCCCAGACACCCTCGATCACCAAAACAAAAACAAAAAAATAGGTTGACAAACTCTTCTCACAAACACAATGTGACAACTCACAATTAGTTGGGCAGGATCCATTGTTGGGCAGGCAGTACCTATTGCAAGCTATCACGTCGCGTTTGTGAGAGAAAGTTTGTGAGGGTAGTATTACCCAAAGCTAACATTTCTTCACTTTTCTCTCTTTTTTTCTGAAAAAAATTCTTTGGAGCCTTTTTGGCTTTTGAAAATCCAAACTCTTAATCAACATCAATCATGACTAATTATTGATTTAAGTGACAAGATTTATTGCAATATTACGATTTTTGGCCGATTCTTTGCTGAGGAGAAGCGATCAAACTTCTTAATATAAATTGTTATGATTTAGGATAAATGTTCGGGTTTAAAATTAAGATTTAAAAGTTTTATAACTTTGGTGAATCTCGTTGATATGTATATTGTTGTAAGTGTTGTTGTAATTGATTCCATTTAGAAGTGTTGAGGGTTTGTTTGATTGATTTGGATTAGATTTGTTCCAACAACCCTTAGCATGATTTTCCTAGTTTGCATAATTATTCACGTTAATCGAGAAAAAATCATGCTAACCAAAGAAAAATCACAATAATCAAGAGAAAAATCATGTTAATCGATGGAAAAATCACGCTAAAAGGAAATGTGTTTTTTTTAAGTGTTGGGACATTAGTATAGAATGGTAGTTTGGTATTTAAATAAATGAATTGGTTATAAATGTATAGGGTGGGAAAATTGGTTAATTAATACCGCCTCAAATTTTGGCTAATTTAATTAATTTCCTTTTTATTTTTGTGGTTGAAATACAAAATTTTTGAATGTGAGAGCTAATTTATACATGCAAGAATTAGCACTTACTAAAGACAGTTGAGGTTTATTTTTTTAATGTCAACATAACAAATTGATTATAAAATCATAAATGTTAATTACAAGAGTTTAAATTTTATTTGGTCAATGCTGTATTGCAATAAGAATTAGAAAGAGGTAATTCTTGCATGTATTATTGTAAAATCCTATTATTAATGTAGAGATAGAGTGATGCTCTAAGAATGTGCAAATTATAGACTAATAATAGGAAATATTAACGAGAAATGGACAAAAAAGTGATGAGAAGTAAAAGCATTATTCATTTTGGAGTAAACGACATGTTCCCACCCAACTCCTAATGTTTGGCGAAATGGGAAGTTTACATCCTTAATTTCCTAAATTCTAGATTCCCACCTTACATAAACAGAAAATCGTTTAATTTAACGATTAAAGGGTCAGGTGGTCATTTTCACTACATTAAATCTAAATGACCCACCCTTCTGCTACTGTTGATTGAGGGCCAAATTGGCCAGATTCTAGTGTCGTTGACCCTCCCTATCACCACCAAATTACTCCCCTCGACTCCCTTACCAAAACCCCCTACTATCACACACCATTTTGCCCATCGTTTGCCGGTCAACACCTTTGGTTCGTTTTGGTGTGGCTCAAGCTTTTCTGGTTGATCTCGTCACTGGAAATCATCCCCTTCTCCACCAAACGCATCACCGGTTTCCCATCTCTTAAACCCCCATCCTTCCCAAAACTCGTTGCTCAACAAACGCCGCCAATCAAGCCTCCTCTCCATATGGCTTTTTTCGTTTTGATTGATGATTTGGGTTGATTTGTTGGAAGACGATTGAAGAAGGTTTTTTGAAGTGTTATCGCTTGTGTTGTTGATTTTCTGATTGCCAACACTCCCCAAGGCTCTTGCCTCCCAACTCTTCTAGTGTGCACACTAGCCATTCGACAAAAGGCCACACCCAGTGCATGCCCCCTAAGCGCGCATGCCTACACACCAGTCGTTGTTTGTGTGGGATTTTTGGAGTTAACTGGCTGATTTTCGGAGTGCTTGGGTTTGTCACAGTGTTTTTAAATCCAGCCCGATTCGGCCGGTTGAACCGGTTGAACTAGGACCCCGAGAGCTTCAATGGGTCGAGTTTAACTTTTTCGATTCAATCAAAACCCTAAGATTTGGAAGGATGATCGACGAACAATCGACGACCGGAAGGTTGGGGCTTTTGAAGAGTAAATGCCGCTGAATGTAATAGTGGTGATGGCGTTGATTTCTGGTGAGTAAATCGACCGAAAATCGAACAAATCTGGCAGCAGCAACAATGAGATTTTTCTGGCGATTGGCGAGGCTAACGAGGGTGGGGTGAGGTGGGTTTTGGTCGGGAGGAATAGGGGAGTAATTGCTTGGTGATGGGGAGGGATTTCGACGTCGGCATCGGTGAGATCTGGCCGAAATCAAACCTATTTTAGCCAGATTTTGAGTAGATTTTAATGAAAATGGGCTTAAGAGACAATTGGGGTTGCATCTGGGGTGTTGCCGCAGCCAATCAGTCGCCAGTCGATTTGCATTTAGGGTGTGTTTGAAAGTTTAAACCTATAGGGACTTACATGTAATTTTTAGGGGAGTATTTGCTAAATTTTAAAAGTTTTGGTCAACTGGTTTGACTAGCGGTCAAATCGGTTAAACCGGTCTACCCGGGACCCGAAAACTTTGCCGGGTTTCACCCCAGGTTTGGTTTTAAAACATTGGTTTGTCGTTCAACGGCAATGGCTAGGTGATGGTGGCAGTGGCTGGGTGGTTGGAGATGGGGATGATATGAAGGTTGAAAAATAGAGTGTTATTGAAATAAATTTGAAAGTAAGATGGTTATTTTTCTAATTCTATTGATTTGGGGTTAACAAATAATTTATTAATTTATTTCTCAAGTGGAGTATGATAATAATATCCTTGCACTTGTATCAAAACCTAAAAATGTTAAAAAGTGGAATCTGGAATTTATAAAAAGTGAAAACTTTCTATTTCGGCAAACCTTGGTTGGAAATACATCGTTTACTCTTCATTTTGATAAATTTGACAAGAGTGGCCGAATCTCACATCGGTCAGTCTGTCAGACTGAAGTAGGGAAGACGGAGTAAGCTCTCAGACCTTCCTTTCTTCGGGAATCATTCCTCTCAAAATAATCTTGGGCTACCTTTCTACCGGTGAGAGAAGCAATCCTCCTTTTAGGTCGTCTAAGGCACTAAGATCTCTTTCAAACCACCAGGAAGCCTAGCTACTGTCTTTATGGGTGACTAAAAAGCGCTAGAAACTCTTTTTCACAGCTTCATAGCCTATCTTTTCTCTAGCATGGGGCCGTCCTAAAGCAGTTAACCAGATTTTGGATCTTTCCCAATATCCTCTACGCCTACTTCTCTTCCGAATCCAAGACTTGGTTCAAACTTTCAAGCAGTACTGACCACTATTCCAGTCTGTCAGACTGAAGTAGGGAAGGAATCATCATAAGTTGAAAAAAAAAACTAGACCCAGCTGACACAGCACACGTTGCATTATTGTTGTTATTAATGGAAGATATAATGGAAAATATGGAAGAAGACGATAAATTTATCAAAATCTTTCTGCAGGCATGCATTTTGCGATTTGCCTCCTATTGTTGCCATATTTTCAATTATGCATCTTTCAGAGGTAAGATCTTTTGTTAATGTAGACAATATTAAACTTTTCCATTATATGGAGATCAAGTTCATCACTTATCATGGCCAACAACTTGGGATTTATACCATGAATAAGTAAGGAAATTAATGAGCTAAAATGATATTGTTCTACTGGTTGTCAGACCTCAATCAGCAAAATAGAGGACAATTACAAGTGAGCAGTGAGCACACAGATGAATAAATCCTGATCACGACAATACAAGTCCCAATGTGAGAGGGGGTGTGTATATACATGGGACTATAAGCCTTAATTTAATATAACGCGTTTTGGGACTAAAACCCAAAAACAAAACCATGAGACCTGAATTATAAAGTAGACAATATCATGTTGGATCATCAATAACATAAATATAATAATAGACACATTAACATAGGATTCTTTCCAACTAAGAAAACCCAAAGTAGTATGATAATTGTTTATAGAAAAGATAAAGATAAATTAAATAATTTATTTATTTATTATTTTTTTTGTTTGCGCTCAAGGATTGGATGCTGTCAATGGAGCTGGGTTTAGATTAGTGGGTCGGACCCAGCTGCAATATGATTGAGCAGCTTAGGGAGAATTGCATGTCAACATCATACATAGTTGATGAAATGATAGTGTCCATTCATTTTTTCTTACTTACTTTTCTTTAGTCTTTTTCATTCCTTTCTGGAGCATTTCAACTGTTTGTGTTGCTTTTAGTTTCTTGAGTACATAAATTAATCAACAACCAGTTGAATTAATCAAATAAAAACAATGGACTTGGGTGGGTAAGCACTAAACTAAGTATCCATTTTCAGGAAGCTTAAACCAATTATAACTTGATATAACCACTACCCACAGAAACAGAAGATCTTGAGCAGAGCAGCCTTTAAGCTTAATGTAACTTAATATAACCACAAGTACTTCTTTCTTTCCCTTTAAGAATTGTTTGCAGAAATGAACAGTTGAAAGAGGGGAGAATACTGAAGTATTTCTGAGAGTACTTGTATGAAATCCCTAAGATTGGAGAATAATGAAGGAATCTTTTCTTTTACTTGAGATTCTTATATTCATTACAATCTTTTATTCTTTCCCTACTGGAAGATTCTAGCATTCACTTTCGAAAATTATCTTTGGCAGTGTTATTCATGGAGGAATAAAGCTTAAGACAGAGAATTAATGGTGGTTTAATTATATTCTCTTGTGTACATCTCAGAGCAAAACATATCTAGCTTAAGTATAAAAAGTAATGCTATATGTACAAATAAATTTTACACAGATTTGTGTACAAACTAATGTGGCATAAAATAAATAGAAGAGTGAATACGATAAGTTTAACTTTTTATATTCACTCATCCATTCACTTTATGCCACATCAGTTTATACACAAATCTTTATAAGATTTATTTGTTCATCTAGTATTATTGAAGAATAAATATATATCTACAGTGCAAAAGAAAAGGAGAGAGAGAAAAGAAAAATTCTAATTCTCTGTACAGAAGCAGCCTTATTTGTAGATAAAAACTTAGAAAGTGGTATTTTACATTACATTCATGAAGATACCAAATCTCCAAACATCACAGAAGATTCAATAAGGTGCTCTCTTCTTCTCTGAAAAAGCAAAAGACACACAAAACAAAAGCAGATACACTAGGAGGGTCATGCAAGGAGATGGGATTATTACAGTGGATAACTATCATCAGAAAGCTTGGAGAAAACCCATGGCCATAGCATACAGCTGGTTAGAGCTTCCTTAGGGGAATACTAATATTACATATATGAATAAATATAAATCAATTGAATTTTGATTAGCCAGTTAAATATGCCTTTCCATATTCGTTAGAGGATGAAATGAACTGATCGTTAGGGAGATTATTAATCATCTTACTCTCTTCTTCAAAATCATCAATACTCCATAGCGAGTCGTACCAAGGATAGTCCAACGATAGAGAGGCAATTATTGAAGCACAAGAAAAGTTGCTAGTATTCTCTTCACAAACTGGTCTGATCATTAAAGAGTTATTTTCTTCTGAAAGCTCTATATCTTTCCATATGTCATCCATTGAGTATCCAACAGTTTCATTCTCTTCATGAACTGCGGCCATACCCATCACTTGACCATCACGGCCTCCAGTGTCATAAAAACTGGCTTTTCCAGTTTTGAACTGCATAGAGTCCACAGTAGTAACAGTTGATGCTGGAGAAGAAATATTTGAAAACGATGATGATGGTGGCGAACACACACCTCGCTTCCTCTCTTGAGCCTTCTTCCGCATATGGGTCCTCCAGTAGTTCTTGATTTCATTATCAGTTCGCCCAGGTAACTTGCGAGCAATTCTTGACCATCTGCATGCAGTCATTATCAAATATACAAAGTGAAGAAAAACTAAAAATTCTGAAATCATAACAATTAAACAAAGAAATTCAGATGATGAAGACTATTGTATGTGCGTTTTATTATGTATTCTCAAACCTATTTCCCCATTTGGCATGAAGTTCAAGGACAAGGCGCTCCTCTTGGGGAGTCATTTTGCCCCGTTTGAGACCAGGGTGGAGGTAGTTAACCCACCGTAACCTGCAACTTTTTCCAGTTCTGTTGAGACCTACAACAAAATCATGGGTTAAAAGTTGCTCCTTCCAAAAATCGCCCATCTTCATGAAACCCTACCTATTATGTGTGCCCCGCCACCTTCAAACCTGAAACTTTTGCTATAAAGTCCCATCGTCGATCTCCAAATAAGCCCACAAAGTTCATCAGGAGAATGTCTTCCTGTTCTGTCCATGGGCCCTTTCTGGTTTCCTCTTGCACCATTTTCATTTTCATTTTCATTTTCTCTGTCTCTTTCTCTTTCTCTGTACTTTTTTCTGGAAAAGAAACTCTTTAACTATTACACTTTCTTGTACATGGAAAATCTACCAATACTCAACCCTTATTTATACAACCGAGATTCCATTGCTAAGATGTGAAAATTCTTTTGCGATTATAATAATTTCATCATTCTGCATCTTCACCGTACATGTGTAACTAGTGTGCGCGTGCTTTTGCTGTGACAGCCACCTTGTTATGCATTTCGATGTCACCCATTATAATCAAAATAACCTAACCATGGGATCTCTCTGTTGATTAATTTATCTTTGCTTATCACAATGAATAAACAAAGATTTGATATGTTGACGTAGCTCTCACAAAACTAATCAACAAGACTACAAGAATAGTAATCGCTTCCATTTTCATATGGGTTAATTTTTTAATCATGTTAATGGTGGTTGTTACTATAAGATTGATCCATATCAAAGATAAATTACTAAAATTAATCTGAAAGAAATGATTTGTTCATACAATAAGGGCCACCTATCTATGGGAAAAAAAAAGTATTAACATAAAAGTAAACTCTCTGAAAGATCAACTGGGTAGTTGATTGGATATAGGGGAATAATAAGTTTTGATGGAAGTTGCTAGATCTTCTCCTTTACTTTCCATTGAAATTGATGAAATGATGATAGTGTATAAGTGTCACTTGACTTTAGCAAAGGCCCTGGATGAATACAAAGTGGTGAAAGGAAAAGGATAAAGAACAAGAAGACAAATCGTTAAAAGCAGGGGAATATAGGGGAACGACTTACACATTCCCAAAGTTGCTGTAAAGACAAAGTGATACCCAAAATATTTAGAAATGATAAACACCCACTATTTATCATGTTCTGTTAGGAATTTTCATCTGTTAAAAGATAAAAATGGTGAAAAGACTAGAATACTTACTGATCTCCATTCCCAACGCACGCCAGCAAGAGCCAGTGCCATTTTTATCACCAAACTTCACAAAAAAATGCTAAATCCGGTCAAAAATTCGATCGATGATGTAAGAGGACTGTGCAAATGGGCTTAGAGTGAGAATGAAATTACTATACTGTCTTTTAGCAGACCATTTTATCCTTAAGAGACTTAATTGTTATTCAAGCTTAATATAGTATTGGTGAGGAAGTGTAGTTTTTGCCACAACCAAGTTTTGTGCAAGAATTGGTTGGGGGTTGTGGAGTGCTTGTACAATCAGTGGGGATGTGTGTGTTTTTCTACTTTATATTGACGTTAAAAAAAAAAAAAAAAAAAAAACTTTGGCATTGAAAGCATTGTACTATCAAATAAAAAAGCTCGATAAGATTGGGAAGCTATTGAGTGAAAAGAGAAGGGTGGTGTATGTTAGTAATAAATGAATAAAAAATTAAGTCTCTTAATTTTATTTTCGTTAAATCCTTTCCATCTTTCATGAACTCATACCCCAGCCTAACATTACACCTTTACAAAGACCTTGATCCAAGGTGATGTGAAATTTACATTAGTGGAGAGTGACTGAAAAGTGAGCCTATGAGTTTGATTCCAGGATTCACATATAGTCATAACTCGAATACTGAGATCAAAAATTTTGTTCATGAATGTTGTGCATACCCCATCCGAGTTTGTAGACTAATAGTTGTGATTGTATGGATGTTCTAGGGTCGATAACGAAAATGAAATTGATGTTTGCATTGTCTGTGAGTTTGGTGATTTTTAAGTAATCTATTTGTTTTGTGTATATCAATTTTTGAGACGTCTTTATGAATTGATCCAAGACTTTTTGTTATGTGTTTCTTTTTATGTTTATGTTTTGTTACTTTTGGAGTTTAGGATAAGTTTAGTGTGGATGTTTGGGTATCATCGCTAGAAACCCTCACGAGACTACAACTCGTCCAACTAGGGCCACCTAGGGTTTTAAAGGCTTGTTGCATACGTCTAAATGCAATTGTGTCAATCTACGAAAGTGATTTAGGATAGTTTAGATTTGGTTTTTAATAGTTGTTTTCTTTTCAAGCTTAGAGACTTATTTATTAAGCACGTTTTAAGGAAATTAAATAAAGGCACCTAACTCTCGAACTGCTAGATTTTATCTGGTTACAATTGTTGCTTTTTACTCTGTTCTCTGTTTCACTTCTTCTACTTAAACATACTGAGTTATTTATTGAATTGTTGTTCTCTCTTAATCTTCTCTACTTGCAATTTGTGTGGAATTGGTCTGTTGTAGTAGGCAAGCGTATCAGGTATTTCTAATTTTACCCTTATAAAAGTTAACCATAAAGATAGGCTGACAAAACCATCACCGGTGACCGAGTGGTCAACTATGACTATCGGTGTATTACTCAAGAGGACTATTTCGATCCACCCACTCGTTAACTTCAGCACCTCGAGGGATTATTTGAGGCCCAGACACCCTCGATCACCAAAACAAAAACAAAAAATAGGTTGACAACTCTTCTCACAAACCAATGTGACAACTCCAAATTAGTTGGGAGGATCCATTGTTGGGCAGGCAGTACCTTTGCAAGCTATCACGTCGCGTTTGTGAGAGAAATTTTGTGAGGGTAGTATTACCCAAAGCTAACATTTCTCACTTTTCTCTTTTTTTTCTGAAAAATTCTTTGGAGCCTTTTTGGCTTTGAAATCCAAACTCTTAATCAACATCAATCATGACTAATGATTGATTTAAGTGACGGATTTTTGCAATATTAGGATTTTTGGCCGATTCTTTCTGAGGAGAAGCGATCAAACTTCTTAATAAAATTGTTTGATTTAGGATAAATGTTCGGGTTAAAATTAAGATTTAAATTTTTATAACTTTGGTGAATCTTGTTGATTGTATATTGTTGTAAGTGTTGTTTTAATTGATTCCATTTAGAAGTGTTGAGGGTTTGTTTGATTGATTTATTAGATTTTGTTCCAGCAACCCTAGCATGATTTTCCTAGTTTGCATAATTATTCACGTTATTGAGAAAAAATCATGCTAACCAAAGAAAAATCACATAATCAGAGAAAAATCATGTTAATCGATGGAAAACACCACGCTAAAAGGAAATGTTTTTTTTAAGTGTTGGGACATTAGTTAGAATGTAGTTTTGGTATTTAAATAATAATTGGTTATAAATATATAGGGGTGGGAAAATTGCTAATTAATGCCGCCTCAAATTTTGGCTAATTTAATTAATTTCTTTTTATTTTGTGGTTGAAATACAAATTTTTGAATGTGAGAGCTAATTTATACATGCAAGAATTAGCACTTACAAAGCCAGTTGAGGTTTATTTTTTAATGTCAACATAAACAATTGATTATAAAATCATAAATGTTAATTACAAGAGTTTAAATTTTATTTGGTCAATGCTGTATTGCAATAGAATTAGAAAGAGGTAATTCTTGCATGTATTATTGTAAATCCATTATTAATGTAGAGATAGAGTGATGCTCTAAGAATGTGCAAATTATAGACTAATATTAGGAAATATAACGATAAAGATAAATGGACAAAAAAAGTGATGAGAAGTAAAAGCATGTTTGGCGACATGTTCCCACCCAACTCCCAATGTTTGGCGAAATGGGAAGTTTACATCCTAATTTCCTAAATTCTAGATTCCCACCTTACATACAGAAAATCGTTTAATTTAACGATTAAAGGGTCAAGTGGTCATTTTCACTACATTAATCTAAATGACCCACCTTCTGCTACTATTGACTGAGGGCCAAATTGGCCAGATTCTAGTGTCGTTGACCCCCATCCTATCACCACAAATACTCCCCTCGACTCCCTACCAAAACCCCCTACTATCACCACCATTTTGCCCTTCGTTGCCGGTCAACACCTTTGGTTCGTTTTGGTGTGGCTCAAGCTTTTCTGGTTGATCTCGTCACTGGAAAATCATCCCCTTCCCACCAAACGCATCACCGTTTCCCATCTCTTAACCCCCATCCTTCCCAAAACTCGTTGCTCAACAAACGCCGCCAATCAGCCTCCTCTCCATATGGCTTTTTTCGTTTTGATTGATGATTTGGGTTGATTTGTTGGAAGACGATTGAAGAAGTTTTTTGAAGTGTTATCGCTTGGTTGTTGATTTTCTATGCCAACACTCCCCAAGGCTCTGCCTCCCAACTCTCTAGTGTGCACTAGCCATTCAACAAAAGGCCACACCCAGTGCATGCCCCTAAGCGCATGCCTACCCACCAGTCGTTGTTTGTTGGGATTTTTGGAGTTAACTGGCTGATTTTCGGAGTGCTTGGGTTTGTCACAGTGTTTTTAAATCCAGCCCGATCGGCCGTTGAACCGTTGAACTAGGACCCCGAAGCTTCATGGGTCGAGTTTAACTTTTTCGATTCAATCAAAAACCCTAAGATTTGGAAGGATGAACGAACAATCGACGACCGAAGGTTGGGGCTTTTGAAGAGTAAATGCCGCTGAATGTAATAGTGGTGATGGCGTTATTTCTGAGTAAATCGACCGAATCGAACAATCTGCAGCAGCAACAATGAGATTTTCTGGCGATTGGCGAGGCTAACGGGTGGGGTGAGGTGGGTTTTGGTCGGAGGAATAGGGGAGTAATTGCTTGGTGATGGGGAGGATTTCGACGTCCGGCATCGGTGAGATCTGGCCGAAATCAACCTATTTTAGCCAGATTTTGAGTAGATTTTAATGAAATGGGCTTAAGAGACAATTGGGGTTGCACTGGGTGTTGCCGCAGCCAATCAGTCGCCAGTCGATTTGCTTAGGGTGTGTTTGAAAGTTTAAACCTATAGGGACTTACATGTAATTTTTAGGGGAGTATTTGCTAAATTTTAAAAGTTTGGTCACTGTTTGACTAGCGGTCAATCGGTTAAACGTCTACCCGGGACCCGAAAACTTTGCCGGTTTCACCCAGTTTGGTTTTAAAACATTGGTTGTCTTCAACGCAATGGCTAGGTGATGGTGGCAGTGCTGGGTGGTTGAGATGGGGATGATATGAAGGTTGAAATAAAGTGTTATTGAAATAATTTTGAAAGTAAGATGGGTTTTTTTCTAATTCTATGATTTGGGGTTACAAATAATTTATTATTTTATTTCTCAAGTGGGTATGTAATATATCCTTGCCCTTGTATCAAAACCAAATGTTAAAAAGTGGAATCTGGATTTATAAAAGTAAAACTTTCTTCTATCGGCAAACTTGG